GCCAGTCCTGCGTTGGAAAGCACAGCCACGAGTGCCTCGTCTGTAAAACCCACCTATTTCGAGAGGGCAAAGAGTGTGTGGAGACCTGCCAGCACAGGTAGTTTAATCTGCTCACTGTCCAGCTGTGCTGCTCATCCATCACATTAAGTGCGGTCACACGGTTTTATTATTAATAAAAGATCGGCTTAGTCACATAATGTCATTCTGGACACTAAACCATTGCTTTCCTTTAGTTAGCTGGACAGGGGGGCAGTTTGGAGATAGAAGCTAATTTAGCCTGAGATTTAAATAGTCATTCATGTGGCCTGTAAAATGCTAATTAGGCTTGATTTTATTTGGGGTGCAGTGATTGAGAGAGTTAAATTAATGTGCCGTTAAATTGATGTGCAGTTAAATACTCAAGAGAAAACACAAAAATGATACAAAGGCTATTTAATTCTGTGACGTTTCACCCTACATACTTTCAGGCCTGTGCAGCATATAGCAAGAAAGAAAACATTGCTTTATAATGCTGAACCTGTTTCTGTTTGAAGTGTTTTATTATGACTGCATTCCCTCTGTCATGGGGTCTTGTCTATGTCGTGTCCGAGTAGTTACTGTTGTTTATAGCTGTATGTGACTGAGTGGCTGTGGAAAGGAATTTCCTTTGAGGACAAACAAAACTCTAATCTCATCCGATTTAATTGAATCTAATCTATCATAACTTTCTTGCCATCCATCCGATAGTCACTATGGAAACACAGGCTCAAGGATGTGTGAGAAGTGTGACCCAAGTTGCGGTGAGTGTATCAGGGGCGGGGAGGATGGCTGTCTGAGCTGCGCTCCGGGTCTCATCTACCTGCGGAAAGAAGGCTGTTGCCTCCCCTTGTGCCCTCAGGGATACTACCATGACGCTGCACACAGGACCTGCGAGCCCTGCCACACCAGCTGCAGAACATGCTCAAGTAAGAGCGTCCACTCAGCAGTAATTTAATATCATGCAGATAAACACACGCACAGATCACATGTAGGTGATGAGATATTGATGCTGCTGTTTTCCCCACGAACTGCAGATGTGGAAGTGGTGGACTGAGCTGTATTTTGACCATAGTACTGTTATATCAGAGTGTCCGCAGGGTCTTAAGAAAATTCCAACAATGTGAATTTTAGGCCTTAAAATGTCTCTATTATATTCCATTTCTGCCAATAGATGCTCCTAAATGTTACACACCGCACCTAAATGTGACATGAAATTATTGACAGGTTAGTAATGTTACTTATACAAAGTTGCATTTTTCAGTCTTATTTTTAAATGTGTTTTTTGAAAAGACTGGATTTTGATAACAACTATAAACCAAAACAGACATGGAAGTAAGACCAATTTTAGTAAATACAATTTGCCTTTCTTTCATACTTTTTTTCCGCAAGTATGGACATAAAATACGTCTTAAATTGCATTCATGATGGTCTTAAAAAGTATTAAATTTAACTCTTGTTTATATAAATTCTTAAAAGAATAATGTGAACAATTACAAACGATTTATCTAATCTAAAGTTCAAGAACAAGGCTGGTGATATTCTCAGTTTTGTCCCAAGACCAAAACCAACATTGTGTTAATTCACCACTCAATACTTTGTGACTTCCCTATCCCGATGCCCATTAGTATGTGAAACAAGAGTAAAAAGTGTATTTGTTAGAGACTAGTTTCAGTTCTGGATTTAGTGCACTTAAAAACTGAACTGAAAAAACAAAAACCCACAGTGCTCATGTTAGTGCAGGAACATCTCACCAGGTGCAATTGTGTGGTTCATAAATATTAGGCGTTGGGTACACAGACAATACTTGGTAGTAGCATCAATTAATTGTTAGTTTTAATATTTTAATAGTATTTTTGGCATATAGAATATTACCAGATTTTCCCTTTATGTTGTTATGTATCTGCAGGAAAAAACTCCCAGTCCTGTGACTCCTGCTATCCTGGATACCTGCTCTCAGATGGCATGTGTGAGTCCATGTGCGACACAGGCCAGTATCCTCTAATAAAGGTAACCACACTTTTTTTAGCTTTTAATTTCACAAATATTAACTTTTTATTAAAAAAAATAATAAATCCTTACCCTGGCCTTGCTTCACCAAAAAATAATTATTACTAATGTTTTGGCCCCAGGTATCATATAATGTAATTCAGACTGACTTATTACTGCACCAGGAGAAATCTCAAACAGCAGAGTGAAAATTATTACTGTGTCACGATTTCAAAATAAATCTCCCGTCTCATGCTGTGAGGCAACTGACTGAAACTGTCTGGCAGGTAGATGCATATTAATTGATTAGGCTGAAAGGCAGTGCCTCAGTTATATTCAGTCTTTTTAGAAATGAAAGCTTTGCATATCTTTAGAAGCAAAGAATCAATGGTTGTGATGTAAAACTCATGCTGTAGTTGTGTGTCCATCAATATAAGTCTTTTCAATGTCAATCCTTTTTCCTGCCACTCATCAGGGTTCAGGCCACGCTTGTGAGGACTGCGACAGCTCTTGTCTGGAGTGTCGGGGGCCTGGTCCAGCCAACTGCACCATGTGTCCTACTCAGGCCATCTTAGAAGCTGGAGGGCGCTGTCTGCTTTGTTGCCTCCATGAGGAGGAGGAAGAGGAGGCCACGACACAGCAGCAGGACTGTTGTAACTGCACTGAGACTCGAGGTGGGCTGTAGGTTGGTGATGCTTGTTGAAAGAAATGCAGGAAATGGAGGAGAACAGAGAGGCACATGTATGGAAGCTCATTTCCGCCAGTAAAAAAAATTAGATGAAAAGGTCCCCTTGACAATATATATAAAATAAATGTTCATGTTATGTCAAAATGATGAGATAAAAAGTCAAAGATATGAGATATTGCTGATTATATCCCTTGTAAAGTAAAAATACTAGGGCTGCAGCTAATTAACTCTTTGATTACTGATTAATCTGTTGATTATTTTTAATACTCAATTGATTATTAATGCAATAATCCTTGCTCTAAGCAATGTGGTCCTACAAGAACACACAATCTTCTTTCAAAGTTGGAACAGTTTGAGTTAATTCACATTAAAATTTCTAAATTAATTTTTTCTCTGTGCTCTCCTGACTGGTTTGAAGTGGGCGGGACTCACATAGTTCTGTGCACCAATCAGAATTTGGCATCAAAATGTGATAACAGTTGGTGGGTTGACAGGCCACTGTCAATCAAATCTGACCCACACAGTCCTGATGAAGGAGATAAAGTTCTTGTTTTTTAAACTCTTATTAAATAAACATAAACCTTAATTTGTCTTTTTAAGTTTGATTGATTGTTGTCATTAATATTTAATGTTTTAGAGAATTACTTTCAGTGGATTTAAATAAAGTTTAGAGTCCTTAATAGAGACCTGATGATACTTTCTGATACATAATGTTGTATTTGCATCTTTATTGCAATGATCAGTGTTCTTAAACTATATTGATCTTTTTAGGAGAACTGTAAATTATAATGTAGATTTCATTTTTAAAACCAAAAAACAAGATACAACAGATATGGTGGCCAGCCTTTCCTCTCAGCTGGCATACAGACAGCAATAAGATAGGGCTGTATGTAGCTTGAGAGGTTAAAACCCAAGTCTGAAAATCACTTGCTGATGCTCATTAAGCTTATGACTGTGAGTGTAAGTGTCAATGTCAGCTCCTTTATTCTCATCTGGATCTTAGTGAGTAAATCAAACTACTAAAAACTGTAAAATGGGGGACAAAAATAGGAATGTACCTCCTTTCCTTTTGGAAATTGAACTCTTGTAGACAGCAGAAAAACAGGGCTTGAAGCACTAAATGTATTGGTGTATGTTTATGTATCTGTGTCTAAACATCCGGTCTTTGTGGGATTTCTAGGAGAGTGTGTCCTCAGCACCAACTTGGCGTTCAGGAACGAGGAGGAAGATGAGTCCCAAGGTAACCTGGCAGTCTTCATCATCGCCTCCATCCTGTTGGTGCTGGGACTGGTGGCCGTCGTCTTCCTCGTTAGACACTCCCGCTCCAAGAGTGCGCCCCCGGACATCACTCCCCGTGGCTACGAGAAGCTGGGCTCTGGAGGATTTGGAGGTGGCAGCAGGCACGGCGGCTACAGCTCTGCTTCCCATAGTGGCCGCGCCAGCTCCTCCGGCGGTCGGTTCCAGGAGACTCAGTTGGTTGACATGGGGGAACGTCGCTTAGGGAGTAAGGACGACGATGACGACGATGATGATGAAGATGAGGACATAGTTTACATGGGCCAGGATGGCACCGTGTACAGGAAGTTCCGGTACGGACAGCTGGGAGAGGACAACGAGGACGAGTTGGAGTACGACGATGAGAGCTACACGTTCCGGTGAAGCATAAGAATCTCTCTAAAGAAACATTTCTCCTCTTTTTCTCTCTTATCCCTCCCTCTGTGCTGTTTATCTCCTCCTGCCCTGGGGGACAGACCCATTTATCCTCCACTGAATATGAGTTGAACCGAATGAGACATGAGAATCTATTTATAATGAGCTGCATTTTACAACCACTATCCATTCACAAAATATAATGTGCGGCAGAAAAAAAATCCATGTTGTTTAGCATTCTTAAGGACTTTTTACATAATTAAGCTTGATTTCTAGACTTGGTTTGGAGTATGATGACTTTCTGCATATATAACATAATTTATTATGTGCACCAGTTTTGACAGTTTCATTAATCATATTATTCATCTTTTAAATTGTTGTGGTGTTGGATTAGCATTTTAAATTTGATTAATCACGGTATTTCTTTTGCTTTTCTATATCCCCCAGTGTTTGCTGTCATTGAATTTTAATTTGAAAATGTGTTGTTATTCTGTGTAAATAAAGTCGTGAAAAAAATGCATCAGAAAAGAGTAATTCATGACTTTGCAGTGCTGAAACTGACTGATTTCAGTCATTCAGCAGCAAAGCAAAGTCCAACTAACAAATCAGACATGGTTGAAAACGATGACTGAAAACAAGGTTCAGACTTTGTCCATTTTATTGAATTACTAGACAGTGATCCATAATTGCTTTGCACATCCTCAATACACCACAGTAGAAGACGCACGTGTGAGAGGACTATCAGTTATCTATGAAGGGACATGCAATGATGCACAAACACACGCATGCATGTCCACACACACACAAACAAACAGAAGATTTTGTGCTTTACATAAATCCCATCTTTATTTTCTTCTGAGGTTTCTTCCTGATGATGGAGGAGAAGATGAAGATGATTCCCGGTTTACCTTTTTGTATTTGACAGAAACAGACTGAAAACACACACACACAGACATTTGCAGAGCTAAAAAGACATGCTCTCACATTGCACTGATAACTTGATTTCATATTTAACTAATTCCTCCTTGGTTTCAGATAGACTAGTTAAAATATCTATTTGTAGATTTATTTTCTCGTGTGTTAAGACAGGATTGGATTGCTTAAATGCAATAGTTCGTCATCATCTATGGCACAAGGATTTTTTGGCTAAAACCATGTGCTTTTATTGTAGATTGTTGACACACAAGTTGCTTCTTTATCTGAAATACTTAGAGTGTGTGACCAGTAAAGGGTGATATTATTGCTTCACTGCTTCTCATGCACACAACTACAACACTATAGACTCTACAAATGGATTTGCGCAGTGCACTGTCTGGTGTGTAATTGCATTTCCTACCCTACCGTGAACAATGATGCTACTCTGTAAGTGCTGCGAAGCATCACACTTGACTATATAGCTCTCTGGATTGCAGGTTTAAGGTACAGTAGATGCTACAGCAGCCATAAAGAATGAGGTCTAACTCATTGTTAACAGTGTTAACAGGTACTATTGTAAGTTGTGTTTTTAATATTAAACTCCAGTGTCTAATTGACAAACACTGACACACACACACACACTAGCTTAACAAGCCTTTGCCTTTGTTTTCCAGCTTCACTCATAAAGTACAACAGTGACTTCTGAACATTGAGGTGACCCGTCCCTTTAGGATGTTTGGGTTTAAGAGCTGCTGGCACTGGCTTCGTCTGGTCTGCTGGAAAGGCGAAAGAACAAAGCAGACTTTAAAGATGCGTATATTTATGTATGGGTGACAGACTGCTGACACAAGGCCGTTTTTCTTCCATGTGTGAACTTAAACATCTAAGAGGACTTACTCTGTTCTGCCTGCTGCTGTTGGCTCCGGTCCATACAGAAAACTATTCATTCTTGAACGAAAGAATAAAGTGGAGTGGTTGTTAGAGGAGAATGTATTGTTGTAACATGCTGGTATTTTGTGAATTTGAAGACACATGCAACGCTGACACAATTAGTCTGACAGATATAAAGTGTGTGAATTCTACAGTTTCATCCCTGCATTTATTGTCAGTGTAATAGATCACTCGACAATAAGGACTGGCTCATTTATTTTCCTGTAATGATAAATGAGATAAAGAGATGCATTTAGCATCTTTAGCAACTTTTTTTTTTCTGTCTCCGTCCTGTAATTGCAACCCTAGCCAAATCCAATTGGTCCTCATCCAGCAGAAGAGTCCCTGTGATCTAAAAGTGAGCCATCTGATAAATGAGCGCTCCAGCCAAGGATAAAACTGAGGCAGGGGCCACTGCCTCCGCAGAGGGAAGTAATGAGAGGCAGGAGAGTCGATGCTTACTTTGAGTTCTCTGCTGCTTCCTTCAGTTCCTTGTCAAGTCTAGAGGTGAGAGTTCAAATGACAAGATGAATATAAAGTCGTTTAAAAAGACAACTCAGACTTGGGGGAGGGAGGAGGGGGTGGTGCATCGTTTGGCGGCTTCGAGGGACTCACCTAATGATGCACTCAGGGATCTGGATGCAGTCCATGGGGATGAGTTCCTGCAGCTCGTCCAAACTGGTCACATACTTAATCTTACTGCTGAACTTGGTGCTGTGACAAGAGCAACATGTACACACACACACACACACACATTAAAACAGGTACAAGTGACAGCACAGTGAAAGTAACTGGCTTGGCATCAGGGGAACAAAATCATAGACTGGTTTTCTTTCAGAAGTGAAACTACACTAGTTTAAATTTGCTACAGTAGGCCAAAGTACACGTAAACAAGACTAAGAGTTTACAGCCATGCTAGCGGCTCTGTGAGGCCACAGCGATGCTTTGAGCAGAATGCTAACGTCAGCATGTTAAGATAGTCACAATGACAATGCTAATATGCTGATGTGTAGCAGATATAATGCTTAGTTTAGCGTGTTATTATACTAACATTTGCCAATTAAACACAAACACAAAGTACAGCTGAAGCAGATAAAACTGATGATGCCGCAGAGGAAAAGTCACAGGATCACCAAAGTTATTAAAATTCATCTTGAGGGGGAATGTGAATTTCTGAACCAAATTTTATGGTAATCCATCCAATGGTTGTTCAAATATTTCACTAAAAACCAAAAATGTCAACCTCATAACTGTGCTGGAGGAAAACCCGGGGGATCAACGTCATTAAGATGTCTAGGAACTAGTGCATAATTGCTTGCATGGCAAATAAAATGGGATCATTCTTACCTGATGAAGGGCTTGGTAATAGCTAGAACGGTCCTGATAAACCATGATGGATGGAGAATAATAAAGGATTTCAAATTCTTCCTGAGCCTGAACACAACACAAGATATCACATTAGGCAAGTTTATGTCTCATGTTGTAGCTCATTTTCACATTCATTCAAATGTTTTGAGTCATGCAATGCAACTGTTCTCTCATGAAATCACCAAATAACAGTGTTATCACACAACAGGTGTAAATGACTGGAACAAACCTTCTGTCAATCATCTGATAACATTTCTTCAGCCAGCCAAGGCCAGGCATTCTTCTGTGGGGTGTGGCTCCGTTCAGGTACACGATCATGTAGTCCTCTGCCACCATCAGCTCCAGTGTACTGATCACATACCTGCAGATAAACACGCACATACGCACACACATAGTTAAATACTTAAAATGCTCTTGACCTTGACTACTGTAGAATTACCAAATATATGTTTTTTTTCTGGAATAACACGAGAGTGACCCAATTTGATGCAGAAATTGCACATTGGACTATAAGCCAAAATTCAAGATAAAAGATAAAAAAAAGTCTGCAGCCATGTTAGTGCTTTACTGTACTCAATGCTAATGTTTAGCAAGTACAATGTTTACCATGTTCACCAGCTATTATCATGCTAAAATGTGCTAATTAGCACCAAATACAATGTCATTAGGTATTTGGTCATAAATAATGGACAAGTTAGAATTGTGACCAAAATTACTATAATTTATCCTCAAGGAGGCATGAATGTCTTTTCCACATTGTATGGTAATCCATCAAGTAGTCACTGAGATAAGATAAGATAAGATAAGATAAGATAACACTTGACTGTATGTTCACACGGAAATTTGTCTTGCATCAAATGCTCAAGAAGTCCATTTTTGGAGCAAGCATGTGAGTCGCCAGTTTAGTGGTGTCATCATGTCCATTTGACATTTCACTCAAAAGCACGAATGTCAGCCTCATCCTGGTGCTACAGGAAAAGTCAAGGGAATCACCAAAGTCACTAGGATTCATCCTTGGGGGACCATGAATGTCTGTGGATCCATCTGTTGTTAATATATTTTAGTGACTAATGACAAAACCATTAGCTAGAGTATAGATCAACTTCCTTGTAGCCTTTATTCTGTACATAATATAATTACCCAAACATAAATATGACATCAAAACCAAGAACTAACAACATCATTCTGCTTACAAAAACTCAGCTACCGTATCGGCCATGTGTTCCAGTTGGCTATATTCCAGATACCAAAAGAAGAAAAAAAAATGTCACTGAGGTCTGTAACATTACGTTTGTCAATCTGGTTTAATGCAAGAGCAAGAAATGCAGAACCATGTTTTGTGGATCTGAGTGCCAACAAATATGAGGAAATAGGAGAAAAAATTGCTGCATTTAAAAAAAATCTCTCCTCTGATGTCAGCTACGGGAAATTGGTACAAATGTGCATCCATCTCAGCAGCTCAATCAGACTTCTACCTTTCTAAAATCCAATACTCTGATTCAAACCAAAATAAACTGTTATCTCTCTTTCAATCCCCCTCCCCCTCTTCTCCTGTCCACAGGGAACTTTGTCGCCTGCTTTGAAAATAAGGTTGACAATATTCTCAGCTCACATAGTCCTTCTAGTTCCCTCAATAACTCCTCTAACTTCAATGACTTTGGGCTCAGCCTGACTCTCCTCTCCTCCCGATCCAATGTCATTCTCCAGCTTACACATCCACACTGCTGGTCCACTCTGTTTCGTGACTATTGTGATCATCTCCCACTGACATCAAGCTGCATACGATTGACCACCCAGCTATAGTTAACTCCTCCTCGCAAGGATTCAGACCTCAAGCCATCTGGCATCAGAAACTGCAGACGCTACGGTTTACCTCCTTTCATTTCTATCCAAAACTCTCAGATATGCCAGCTTACTCAATATCTTTCACAGAACAGCCTGTGGGATCCCAATCACACTGTCCAAGCATGAAATGCAACTGTGCCAACACAACAGTAAAGACATCAACACGGGATGTCTCGGCACACAAGCTAGACTATGACTTTATTTCTATTACTTTAGTTAGGGAGTTTTCCTTGCTCAGAGGGGCCATGAAAGGACGAATTAGGTAGCATCCTTGACTGAGTATTATTTGAGAATAAAATGCAAGTAAATTACTGGTTAAAAGGGTGTTATTGCAGAATTATACTCACAGGAAGAGGTTCTCCATTATTTCATGGTAGTCCTCTCTGTCACTGTCTGGCAGGAAACAGGCTGCAAATACGATGATGGCATTCACTCCATTGCTATAGTAGCCTAAAAAACACATACAAATAATAATAAGAGTTAACTTGACCTTGTTCCATTGTTGGTGAGAGCTTAGCCTTAATTAGCATAGTTTTCATAATTTGATTGCTCCCTTATTTTCCTCTTTTTTGTTCACATCTGCCAATCTGTGTCTCCTTTGTCTGACTGTCTCTCGGTCCTGTTTCCACTCACTACTTTTCATATTAATGTAATTTCCTTTTATTCACAAACCCATTCATCACCAGATTTGGTGTCACTCAGACAGAGGGTCTTTTATCTAAATGACAGAGCTTGTGATACTGACTGTTCAGTGACAGACGTCTCTGTTTCCAGTGGGACGGCTGTGTTTCACTTAAGCCCGCAGCACAGTGGGAAGAAAATGCACTACCTGATATAGTTAGGGGTCTGATTTCCACCAATAATGGTAATATGGTCAGTGCTTATATAAGACACAGGCTTACCAGGGTGCAAGCCCATAGCCTTGGGGTTTTAGAGGGCCCCACAAAGAGGAAATAGAGAGAGATGGGGCCCCTGCCTGTGAAACCAATATGGTGTGGATCGATGTCTGGCCTCATTTTAAGACCCGGTCCACCAGGAGTCTTAATGCGGCTATAGATGGGTGACAAATTAAGGGAAGAATTAGCATTAACTGTTTTCATAGGGATTGGGCTACCACAAGAAAAGAGATATTCCTTCATTTGGACTTTTGTAGAGCTGAAATGTTTGTCGATTAATCAATTAGTCAAGTGACAGAAAAAATACCAGCAATTATTTTAATAATCTACACATTTTTTGTCAGAAAATGTAGATTTTCACTTTTTATTTGTGTTTTGTGGTAGTAAATTGAATACCTTTCGGTTTTAGAAGCTTAGTTGGACAAAAACATTTTAAAACTTTTCCTTGGTTAACTAATCGGTTAACCAAGAAAGTTATTCATTGATAATGAAAATAATTGTTACCATATTCCCATAAGTGTTCAGCTGGGTTGAGATCTGTCGACTGTGAATGTTACAAAATATGATTCACATAATTTTGATATTGAGACCGTTCAGTGATGGTCCCTAATGCCCTATATGGAAGCAACTGCACCAATTTCTGGTTTTCCCTTTAATTCGACACTTGTCTATATACAAAAGAGCTGTTTTGGACAGCAGCAGCCACCCTTCATTAATGACACAGGGCATATTATTGTCAAGTGGCCACTTTCCCAATTTTCAACCGGAATCCTATTCTAATGTGAAGAGGATGTGAAAATTGGACATAAACATTTCCACTGTTTTTTTGTTGTTGGAGAGTTTTCTCTCTGATGGCCACTGGATGATGTAAAACTCATCAGTTGGCTACAGACTGTGTTTTCTCATTTTTGGTTGGCCAAGCTCCAACGGAAGTTGAGGCATTTCCAAAATGAGACATAATTCTGCCACCTCATATGCTGAGAGGTGGCAGAAGCCAGCTCAAAAATAATAGGTCACCAAAGATTATGACTTTTACAATATGGTGTTACACCTGCAATCAGTTATTCAGGCCAACAAAGAACTGAAACGGAAACCTGGAAAATGGTACAATACAAAGAATAATAATTGTTTATTTATCTTTGTGCCAGCATCACTAATGTGATTAACAGAATGCAGAATTTGCAATGAATACTGGATATTGTCTGAAGTGTATTAAAGGATAGGTTCACATTTTTTCAAGTCTATCTTAAAATAACACTCACATGCCCATTTGTACGGTGCAACAGTTTTTGTTGGCTGTAATTGATCTGTTTACCGGATGGGAATAAATCCCTTTCTAAAACAATTAGTGTAACATAAGAAATGGGGGACAAAATTCACAGTCGTAATTCAATGCAAAATACACTCCAAAGTTCAGCTGAAGCTAATATGAGACTGTATTTATAGTACAGAGTATTTATAAAACAACCAATTGTAGTGAAATTGTAGTAACAACAATGTTAGCATAGCAAAAATAATGTGTAATATGCTTTGTAAATAGTTGCATCAACAATGCACTAACCTGATACCTTATAATAAATGTTATAATTTGAAATTTAAAATGTCTGACAAGAAATTATAACTTGAACCGAGAAAAGAAAATAATGAACAGTAAGAGGACACTGTTTCAGGAGATTTTAGTGAAACACTCAAATATGATTCTGAAAATACCCAGTGGATATTAAGCCTTTGCATGTGGTCGTGTGAGTGTGTGACGGACAGCATTAGAGACAGACTTGAAAAAATGTGAACCCTAGCTGGATTTGATGATGTTGAAGATGGACATAACATCCATTGTTATGATGTTAAAACGGCTTTTTAATAGTCACCTCCATGGGAGATGACTCTCATGTAGGGCTCGATGATCTTCATGTTGATGCGGTGCTCCTGCTCCCCAATGATGACCGTTCTCCATAGCTTGCCGTCCTGGCGCTCCTCCTCAGCGCTGTACGTCGGGATTGGATCATAAGGTTCACTTGTCCCACTCCTATTGGCTGCATTGGGGTCTGATATAAGAAAATACAGGCCTTTTTCACAGCAGTCATTTTTAGACTTGTCATAGGAATTATACTCTAAAACAAATTAACATCAGTTATAAGGTTTTAAAATAATCCTGACAGCATAAAAAGTTACATTATTGCTATGAGTTTTATGTTACAAAATTAGAGACTAGCCAGGAAATTCTGAATTTGCACTCTTTTTGTTATAAACTGTATACTGAACCATTTTGGCACATCTTGCCTCCTTTAGGTCCATGATGATTCAGGATCATGGCGGAGGGTCAAACTGCCATTTCATATATTCTAAATGACCCACCTTCCCAGTCCATTTCATGGTCCGTGTAGTCGAAGTAATCCCCCTCATCTGGAGTGTCGAGGTCGTCAACGTTAATGTCAAGATCATCTGGCGTCTCCCCCAAGTCATCTTCACTCTGGTCCAGTGAGAGGCTGATACGAGGGGCAGATAGCTTTTTTCTTTGGGTGGGACCTCCTTGCAGGGGTAGAGAGGTAGGAGGAACTGCAGAAAACAGTATATAAAAATAGTTATTCAATTGGGTCATGGCGGTCTTTTGGACATCAAAAACGATTTCTTTTACTTTTGAACAACTGTTGACTGATGACTCATGCTCACCTGGTCTGCCTTCACCCCCCTCAGAGTTCATTTTACTCTCTGATGCCAGGTCCATCCCCAGGAGGACCTACAAGAAGATACTCACAGTTATTAAATTGATTCTTATGATGCAACTTGAAACCTGGAGAGTTTCCAGACTCTTGTGTAATGCATTGCCTGTGATTCCTCTACATTTAATGATTTGCAAACAAGAACATCTATTTGAGTTTTGAGTGAGATAAACCAGTTGTTAAATTAAAGTAGCAATTCATGGCCAACTTCAAAGCTAGCAGCGGTGCAATGTAATTAAGTGCTCACTCAGTATACTGAAGTACAAATTTGAGGTACTTAACAGAAGTATTTACATTTTACATTCATTGCTACAGATTATACTTCCAACAGTAAGCCTATATACAGTAGTTCAAATTATTATTATTATTATTATTAGCTTATTTTTCTTCTGCTGGGATGCACTACCTGGGACTGGTTAGGTGTGTGTGTGTTTTTCAAATTAAAAAAGTAACAGCAGTCCAATAATATAACTTATAATAATATAACACTCACATAGGGCCATTTTCTGCATTGAGTACTTTTTGCTATTACTCACATATATTTGACTTAAGTTACATTTTCAATGACATGACAAGACAATGTCATTGAAAAGACAATGACAAGGACATTTACTAGGAGTATTAGCTTTTTCCAAATATGTTTGTATCAGTATACAGTATATGTTGGCTGATGTCAAGAAATGTCAGTACAGAAACTAAATTAACTAAGTTTGAGGTAACTTAGATATGGTGTCATCATTACATATTTTGCCCTTAAAGCACTGACAAGTTTATTTTACTGCATAATGTTGCACTTAGTATGAATCCTCATACAAATCTGTATCAACATTGTTGTTTATTATAAATGTTTATGATGGAAAATTACTATCTCGATCAGATTCGACCTCAAAAATCCAGTATCAATCAGGCTATATTATAAAGCATAAGTACAAGACGCCCCTAGGATATGTTAACAAACGGTATATTAACTTTACTTAATTAATGCCTGTATTTTAATCTTATTTACAAACCCATTTCCACTGTTATTAGAGAACAGGGGGTGTAGAGACAAGAGTAGTAAAATGGTAAAGTGAGAAAGGAAGGGGGAGGGATGAGGGAAATCACAAAGATTTTGAGGTTAAAGGTCATCTTCCCCTGTGAATAATCCCTTCCATTCAAAGTGGAGTAGGGGGGAGGATGCTGAGGGTTGAAAGAAGGGGGGGAGGAACGGGGCTTGTTACATCATGACAAGCTATTTCCCCTCGTCGCTGTCTTTTTCTAGTGCTGATTCAAAGCGAATGACTGCACGCTCGCCTGAGCACAGATTGGGCAGAGATGCAAATTCAGAGTGAGTCACGTGCGCTCATTCGCATGAAAAAGAAACATCCTTGTTCCTCCTCGGGAAACTCTGCCAGGAACGAGGAAGATGTAATTGCATTACAACAGAAACAGAAAGCTGAATGGTATATTCCTGTAGAGTGGAGATGGCTGCCATGATGACGATCCACAGAAATATGTACAGTATGTGCACACATAGTAGATAATATCTCATACACACAGAAATTACAAACATACAATGACACACACTCCTACTGCACTGCAGAATAACAAAATCATCATCAGCTGTAATGTGCATCCTCCATGGAGGATGCTGAGCTCCTTTACTTCCACAGCACAGCACAGGACCACAGTGCTGATGACAGCAGCCCCTCCCTCCCTCTCGCTTCCTGTCTGCTGGCTGGGAGAAAAAAAAAACAAGAACATATCCCCTTTCTCTTCTTTTTATCTCCACAGAATAAAAGCCATCTACTCACCACTGCTGGGGCTCGGGAATCTCTGTCCTCTTGCGTCTCAGAGCATGGATGTACTTCCAAGTTCCCTGCCTATTTCCTGCTCCCAGCCTTCTCGGTGGAGATGCTCAGCTTACAAACAGCTCACAGCTTCCACCATTTTGTGGTCACATGATCTGGGCCATTACCAAATAAGGGCGATCACCTGCTATAACAGCTCTCTGCACAGCAGCTTCCTCAGGCAGTGCAACTGAATGGGGCAATAGGAGGGTGCGTTTGTGTCATTTTTTTCCTCGACTGGAGGGGATAAACTCTGTGTTTGCGTAGCTGCCGTTGTGTTATTACTACCTGCGAGGAATGTGGGACTGCCATTAATGTCTGACAGTAGATTTGTGAGCCTGGCTGTGCAGCTACAACATTCTATCACCCCTCAGGGTAAAAAAAGGCAATAGCAATCAGAAACGAGAACATTGTCAGCTTCATGTGCTGATAATATTCACACACTTTACCACATGCTGGTAAGAAAATAGTGACTGATCCAAAGCAAATATCTGATGCTTACCATTCCCCTGTCTATAAGGCAACTTCAAATGTGTCCTTTATATCCTGCATTAGCACTGAACTTTTAAACCCTTAAACAAGCAAACTTTAACCACAAAGCAGATAAAATCAATAGTACCTAGACAGTCTCTCCTTCCGTGTGGAAACACGCATTGTTCTCTCCACAGGTCTAACCTCGCTGAATGCCTCTTTTCACTTACCACTGTTCAGTCCCAACAGTTCGACAGGAAGACAGAGACCAGCCTGTTCGACCTGTGCACATTCTTGACAACTGTTTAGTACAAAGGTTGCTTCCACAGCATGCCAATCAATGTGACTACACCTGGACGTAGTGAGGCGCCCAAATACAGTATTTGGTTAATCAGTGATTATATCATAAAATGGATCATACGTTTCTGTGCGGAAACCTCAGATTTTTTTTCTCATATATATATTTTTAATGTCAGAAAATGTGACAAGACAGATGAGGGACAGCGCAGAATCCAGTTGGTTTAAAAATACATATTACATGTAGCTTTAATGTCTATATTTTAAAGTTAGTATAGATTAGTTTGGAAAAAATAATAATTGTTTCATAGGCAACATGGTTGTTGCACACATAAAGACATTAGGATGAATATAAACAAAGGCACTGTAGTTCCCTGCAGGCTATGTTTTTATTTCCTCCTACCAGAGCTGTGAACCAGGGTGGGTTGCATTCTAAGTAGATAAGACTTTGTCCAACCAGTTTGACACCATTTACAATTTTATCATGTGTGTCAAACAGTATTGGTATAATAGGACAGTTCAGTACAATAATTAATTGACATTGCAGTTTCTCTCCTGTAGCAATAGAACATGTTTATGAAATGGCACATACTGTCTGTGTTTTACAGTGCTGAGATAAATGTGCCTTACCTGACACTGCTGTCTGATTGCCTCTCTTTGATGTTTTTGAACAAGCTGCAATCGCTAGCACACAACAGATAAAATGTCCATAAAGTGTTACAACATGCGACTGTATAACCAGGTGTCTTGTTCCTAAACGTGAAACCATCTCTTTGTCCTACAACCTCCTTATTCAAGGTTGAAGTTATGGAGGTTATCGACGAACAGTGTGTCTTTGACAGCTTTGAAGACAACCCGGATGTTCTCTGTGTCTGTCGCACAGGTGAAGTGTGTGTAAAGGGGTTTATGACGCTCGCCGTGCTGCTCCTTGTACATTTGCAAGATGAACCTTCTCGCAGATTCGGCATCACGCTGAGGCCCTATGGAGGCGAAAGTTGTCTTAATCAGAGAGAATCTGTGTATGTCGAGGAAATTCAATTCTGAGAGATCACTTTAGGACATGCTATGTCCAAAATCACACCCATGTTCACTGATTCACTTCTCCCAGTTTAATATAGACAGAATAGTATACTATAATGAGCAGTGGGTTAATTTCAGACGGTTGTTAGCAGAAAGTAGTGTACATGCCATAAACAATGCTTCTTTCATTGCATTGTGAGATTTCACACTCAGAATTAATGCTGTAATTGATATTTTTCATGATCAATTAATCTGCAGATTATATTCTCAATTAATTGTTTAATGTACAAAATATAAGCATAAAAAATTTACCAAGATAATGTATTCAAATCTCTTACTTCACTTAAATCACTGACTAACAGTCCATAACAAGAGCATATTCAGTCCATAATAATGAAATACAGACGGAAGCAGCAAATCATCACAATGGAACAGCGGGAATGAGTGAATGACAGAAACAATCAACAATTATCAAAGTAGTTGATTACCAATCTATTAATTATTTTAAACAGAAATTGAAATAAAATGTCAGACCGTAAATATGGCACACTAAATAGTAAGTAGGAAGTGATTTTGGACGCAGCTATGAATGCTGTTTTAAGAGCAAAAAGAAGTTGCATGCTTTACCAGAGTAGTCAGGAAAGTAGGTTGCCAAATGGGACTGTGTGATCTTCTCTTCTAGCAAGTCTGTTTTGTTCAGGAAGAGGATGGTGGAGGACTCTTGGAACCAGCTGTACGAGAGGATAGTCCTGAACAAGGCAAGGCTCTCTTTCAGACGATTCTGAAGAAGGAGGTGAGAATAATCTTAGACAAAAGACTAATGTACGGAAATAAAGGAAAAAATACGGAGAGTGAACACAGTATAGCCATGGCACAAGAGATTAAAGGCTTTTAACCTTACATCATTCTCACTCTCGTAAAGGACTTGATCGTACTCGCTCAGGGCCGCCAGAAATATGATGGAGGTGACATTCTCAAAACAGTGGATCCATTTCCTCCTCTCTGAACGCTGACCACCCACATCCACCATCCTAGAGACACATTACCATTTATTGAAGTAAACATAAAGGTTCATGGACTGTTAAAGGAACAATAGGTAGTTTGAGAAATATACTTTCTTGCCGAGAGTTAGACGAGAAGATGCTAAATATGAAGCTAAAGTTCAGCTTTCCATTAATACTGGAAAAGAACAAAAAAATACATCTACCAGCACTTCTAAAGCTCCCTAATTCATGTTATAGCTAATTTTTTGTCAATTAGACACAAACAGAAAGGTACAAATTTACTGGGTATACAGTAACTCCCCCCAAAAAGTTTTTACATTTTTCCTAGTAAATAAATCTGGAGATATAATGTATTAATTAGCCTAGTAAACTTTAGAGGTTTTCCAGTCAGTTCATGCTAAGCTAAAGCTAATCGCCTGTTGACTGTAGCTTCATATCTACTGGACAGACATGAAAGTGGCATCATTCTTCTCATCCAACTCTTGGCAAAAAAGCAAATGAGTGTATTTTTCAAAACAAATCATGAGAAATCTAGAAGGAAATTTGGGGATTTTAGGTCACTAATGAGTGTTAAAACCAAATCAGTGATACAGTTCTTCCTCATGTGTTGTTTTAGACTGAAAACCTGTCAAATGTTTACCATTTTTCCATATATATATATATACATATATTCATTCATAGATAGAAATTCTTCTATCTATAAAGCAAGAAATCTCTGTCTGTGTGTGTGTGTGTGTCTCAAATATCTCTGCAGATCAGGATCAGACTGACCTGAGAGTTTCAACA